AAGAATCTAAGTTTTTCTTAGTCTACAGTATGTTCAATTTTTACACGTTTGAATTGTCTTTTGTTTTTATTTGTTTCATTTATGTTAGGGGAAATAAATTAAACTCAAAACAAATAGTTTAACCTAGAGATTTAGTAATACTACTTTGAAAAGTCATTTGGTTACATGTGTAGGTGCACAGAGTTTGTCTATGGAGACCTGGATGGAGAGTAAAGACCTGCTAAACTGTGAATCATTTTTTAATAAATGTTATGACTGTGTCAGAAATTCCAGAATGATTCACTACATATACTAACCTTAATAGTGAATGATAAAACATGTAACAATACAATGAGACTCAAACTTCTCATTTGACTGAGATTTTTTAGCAAAATTCTCCTTTAGGAACTGTATTGCCCATGTGTCCCAGTGCAAAGGTACAAGTATCCCACAGTGCCTCACAAAAAAACTGTACAACGGAAGGTCACCATCCAGCCCTCGCATACTATCAAGTACTGCATCAAAAGAAAAATGAGAGCAGTGCTGTAAGTTAAACTGTCTTGAAAGGATTTGTTAGTATTGCTCAGTATATTATGTCTTAATCACAAAAAATGCTTAGCAGTATTTATTTATTTTGCTGATTTTGATCTTTCATTTAAATGATGCATTAGCAATTATGCAATAAATTGGCACTTAGAAAGTCACACCATTAGTGTCCAAGAGTGTTTGCTGTTGGTGGTGTTTTTCTTTTTTCCATTTTGCGACTGAGCTCAGTTCACACTCGTCCACATAACATGATTTAATATGGAGCAGCGAATGGGAATGAGACACAAGATGTATTTTTATTGTTGTTTGGTTCTTTTGTTTGTGTGGGGTTTCTTTTGTTTTTTTCATAAACTGAGAAGTGGATCATTTTTAGGTATTACACACTCTCACCAGCTGCCCTTACAAACTCACAGTTTTTAAAACATAGCTTAGACTACATTATCAGTTATATAACTAAGATAAACCTTTACCTTTTGCTTTCAACCACAAATTAAATTCTCTTTTAAATTTCTCTTTCTTCTTGATCTGACTGCCTATTAAGAAGTCTAAAAGGACCACCAAATATCATCATCATGCTGGAGACTGCATGTGCCTTTCTATTCCCTTCACTCTTTGTTTATCCTGGCTTATCGAGGCTTAGCTCTTCATCTGTGCATCTCGCTTCAAATAAATATAGCGAGCAATCAAAGTGAGGTGACTCATAACTGTACTGCGGTAAAAGCCTGTTGAAAAATCAGACATTTTCTGAGGTTTAATTGGATTCTTCCCATACAGTACCTAGAATTGAGCTTCCCTGTCTGTAAACAAGACTACTTGCCATTCATGGTTGGATGGTGATGTAGTTTTTTTCATGTATGATGAATGGAAAACTGGCCTGCAATTCAATGTAGGATTAGTTCAGTTATTACTGTAAAAAAAGAAGAAGAGGTGATTAAAGGCAGAGGATTGACAAGCAGCCAAGACCTTGGCAGTAGTGTGTCATGCACCATAACCATGTACCCATCAGATTTTTCATACATAAATTTCCCATTTTCAGTCTCCGCTTGACTTGAAATATTTTGGTTAACCTTGTGTTTTCATGAACTCGTAAGAGGCTCAAAGAGTTTTAATGGGAAAAATGTAAATGTGGTTGTAAGATACCAATTTTTATATCTAATTGATATTCAGATTGATCTAACATAATTTTATTTTAATTCATATTCTTTTATAAATTATTAATAAAACTAATTTGGAACTGTAACATTAAATGTATTCAATCAATTAAAATGATTTATTTCAATTTTATGTAACATGTCTGAGATTTTAAAAACACAAACCACATGAATTACTTTTGTTGTTTTCTCCTTTTTCATTTCTCTTCATAAGGTTGTCACAGTCCCCGTTTTTGTTGCCAGTTGCCTAGCAACAGTGGTCTCATAATTTACTGTAAAACACTCAAATGCTAAACGTGTTTTGCTCACAACCTAACATATTGAAACTATGACCTAATAAGTTCCCTTTTTTGTTAGATTAGTTATCTCTGTCACTCAGGTACAGACATGGACACACGTCACATAGGCTTACTTGCACTGTGTTCCTCCATTGAAAAGGCCTGGTTCTCTTGGAAGGATCGGTGCGAATGTGCAGGGAGCTCATCTCCGTAATGTGAAGGAGGAGACGTGTGACTGGTGTCAAAGAAGTCTTGCGTGTCGGATTGTGAAGTTTTCAGGAGACACAGGTGAGTCTCTGGGATAGCGTGGAACAGGAGCAGAAGCCATCCCTGAATAACCAGGGCGACAGCCAGTGCAGGCTCATCAAACACTTTTGCATCCTTATTCCCCCCTCCCTTCTCTCTGTTCCCCCTTCCCCTTAACGTCTGGCTGCCGTAAAGGTAAAACCCCAGCCAGGCCACCCATAGTAATGCTGATGCGAGACTGGACAGGACGAGCCAGATTGCGTTACACTTCCATTTCCGTTTTTCACTATCTCCTTCTCTGTCTTCGTCATTGCCACTTCCTCCATCTACTGCCAGCTCTCCACCACACAGCACCACCCCAAGAGAGAGACCCATGGCTATGAGAAGAAGCCCCAAAGTGTAACTGCAGGTAAGGGCAAAGTCTAAAGGTGGATATTCACAGGCTGGGTGACCCTCCCTAACTACAGTCAGCAGCACCCATTCGGCAGAGATTATCCCCTGAACCAAGGCCAAGGCTAGACCGAGTGCTGCAAGGGAGCTGCCAGATGGGCTTGCCTTTCCAGCTACCAGCCTCCTGAGCCTCACACCCTGCACTAGTAAGCTGGAAAAGCAGAGGGCAAAAAGGGGTCCCCAGAAGGCCCTTCGAACCACACAGAGCGCCTGGTTCTTCCCCACCAGGAAAGCCAGAGAGATGGTAAAAAGCCCAAGAAGTGTGCCCAGAAGCAGGAGTAGAGGCCCCAGGCTGGAGCGCTTGGCAGGATCAGAAATGGAGCGCATCTTGACTAGCAGGAGCACAGCGAGGACCACTGATGTGAGACCACCGCTGCAGGCCACAGTCTCCAGAACAACACCCCAGACTGATTCCAGGTCGCAGAGCACCCTGTATGGAGGATCCACATCCACACTACATCCCCGGGGAGGAGGTGGCGGAGGAGAGGGGTGGGATGACCCATAGCAAATGAGTGGCAGGAGGCAGATGATAATGTGGCTGAGAGCCATCTTAGAGACAGAGACAGAAAAAAAGTGTACTGGTGAGAAGAGACAGAGGAAGGGTTAAAAGAAAGAGACAAAGATACAAGTACAGGAAGGTTACACTGGGGTGAAAGCTCCAGAGAAGAGGGAGGCAGGGATGTGAGTGTGAAGGTAAATTTCTGCATATTAGTTCCTACTGCGTCCTCACAACACCGTAGAAACAGCAGTCAATATCTGTTAACGTCCAATATACCTGTTGTGTGAGATGTTTCAAACACACACAGACACATACTCGCGCATTCAATCCACACGACAGACCTGCTTTTAGCACTGGGCAATAGTTTCCATGGAAACGGGAAACAGCGTGGGCTGGCTACATTGCACACTGGGCTTTTGAGAAGTCGAGTTCAGTACCCCAAATCACAGAAAAACATAGGAGTATGCACACACACACACACACACACACACACAGACTCAGTGTTTGTACTGATTAGTGAGAATCACATTGGTTAAAAGGTTTAAACCCAATCAATTCAAAATTGTAAAAGAAAGTTTTAACCCTCAAACTGTAAACAAGCAAAGGCAGAAATGTCCTTTTAAGGTCTGAAACTGAAATACAAGAATAAGTTAATACACATAATGAACACAAGCACAAACCAAATAAAAAAAATAAACAAAACATCATCAAAATTTCAACACAGTTTGATTTTTCTAAGAATCTCAAACTCACCTCAGATAAAGTCTTCACTTGATTTCCTATTGTTGAGGGTGCAGAGGTATCATAATTTTCCACAAATCATTTTTGGCAGCACTTCACTTAGTTGAAGTAATTTTGTATTCCCTGTTTATGAAATCCTTGAGGCAGCAGAAACAAGTCGGTTTCCATTTTGTCTTTCAAAATGTCGCTGTCTGTGCTCACAGCTTCCACTGTTTTAAAGTACAAAATAACACAATTTGAAAGACCAGTAAATCTCCTGCTGATGCACTGACTTGTCCAGCTGCTCCAAGAAGAATCCACAATTATGATGCATGCCTTGATACTTCACACACCCACACAGTCAAATATATCTTGTCTCTTTCACTCGTCTCTCTCACTCTCTGCCTCACTCTCTCGCTCCCTCTGTCGTCTTTCTATTCATTCTGTCTGCGTGTCTGCGCCGCTCTCTCTCCCTGCTTCGCGCTGAATGTGTGGAGGTGTCAACAGAGATGCAATCCCAGCTTACTTTTGTTCACCCACACACTGGGAGTATGTTGAGTATGATTTGCAGATGCACCTGTATAACTAGGAAGAAGATAGGAAATAAGTACAGTACACAAACATCTCACAGTCAGCCCAGGATTAGTCACTAATTTGCACATTCAAGCTCCCACGTCTTCCTCTTACCACTTGTAAAAGTCTTCTGCACACCCATAGTTGTGGGAGGTATAGATTCATCTTTCATCAATAAATTATACCAAAGCTATTTTTTCAGGTGGCAAGATGTCTATCGATGGTTTGCATGTGTCAACATGATTTAAAATGAAGGGTGTCACATGGTCAGTCTACACAGGTGAGCCTTGTGGCCATGTATCTATTCTAGTAGAGTGTTGCATAATCTTCTGGAAGACATGATTCAGCCAAGTCTGCTTAGACAGGATTAATCCTTTAACCTGCATGTGATGTTAGAAAGGGACACGGCATTGGGAAAGTCATAATGAGCAGCTACTATTGTCACTGAGCCAGTTTGGATTAGTGTGTGAGAAACTGGTTCTGACAAATTCAAATTCAAATTCAAATTTTTTATTTGTCACATACACAGTCATACGCAGTACGATATGCAGTGAAATGCTTAGACAGATGTATGAGCTCAGTGATAGTGGGCAGGCAGGAGGAAACAAGGTTGGTTTGTGGTACACAAATAAGTAAAGCATAGACTGTATAAAAAAAGGACATAAAGACTTCACAATTTGTAAAGTTGTGAAGTCTTAATTCAAGGATTTCTGTCACGACCTTGTTGATTACATGGAAGTGAGCATAATGTGGAGTGCTAGGTCGTCTGCTAATGCTAGCAAGCTGCATCCATAGACTCAATAAACAGCCCCACATACCTCCTAATTACTGTTAACAAAATACTGCTCACCAGAAATGTTGCACAGACCTCCTGAGCAGACTGTTAATATAGAAAGCCATTGTCTTTGGTCAGCAGGGAGCATTAAAAATGTTCCAAGAGGCAACAAGATTCTGTGCTTGAATGAGCTGAGGGGAAGCGCCAGTTAAAAGGTAATATTTCCATAACTATAATAACTTTATGCAGCTATTAAGATTTGGTAAGTTATCCGCCGAGATCAAAACTTTATTTATTTTGATAAATTTCTTTATTGTGCTCTAATTTAATACGGCAGTCTACGAGGATCAACTCTGTTTTGGAGACAGCTTCAAGCGGCCATTAGACGAGCTTAATTTTCAGTGCTGGACAACAAGTATGCACACTAGTGTCACGCTGAGTCCATCATGTCAGTGTAATCCAGATAATGAGCCCTCACATGCAGGCAAGCAGCAGCTTAAGTTTATAATTATAGATGAATAGAGTGATGATGAATTGTTTTTTCTGTGCAGCTCATTGTCATTTAATCCTGCTACTAAAATGATTAAAAGTTACTAGAATAAAATAGTAATAATACCTGATTACCTAGGTTGGCATTTCCCTAAACATTATAAATAAATGAGTTGTCCTTGAGGTACCATTAAAAAAGGTCATGTCTGTGCAGTAAACACAAAGTAACAACTTGCAGTCATTTAGTGTAGTTTAGAATGGCATTTTGATTGATGTGAAAATGCAAACAAACATCTGAATTTCAGACACATTACAGCATAACATATACAAAGCCTTTAAAGCTCAATAATTACCACAATATGCTGTATAAAGCTTGTTTAATTTTCTTTTTCTACATTTGACAGAGTGTCAAATATGAATCCAATTTTCAGGCAGTTGCTTCCTTGTATGTGCAGTCTGTTTTCATGCTGTTAGTGCATGATGTCACTGGGGACGTAGATGCTTGCTACGGAGCTCCGCAAGGGACATTGGAGAAAAAAACAGTAAAGCTAGATTTATGCGCGATCTCGCAAAATAGGCTGCATCCTTCACAGGTCGCAGTTGAAGGACGAGACGGTGTATCCGTCGTGGCCCAGCCGGCTCCAGAATTCATAGCGTGGCCCAGCCGGCTCCAGAATTCATAGCATGGCCCAGCCAGCTCCAGTATCCAACAATGGAGGCAGCTACTTAGTTTTAATATTAGTCTTTATGGGTCACAAAATAAACTTTTAAGATATTTTCAGGTGTGAATGTAGCTGTGTGTATTTTAAGTTTGATTCTGTAAAAAGTGACAAAAACATTAGCGTCTGCTGTACACTCTGTGTAGGATGAAAACATTCTACAGCAAAAAATTAAACTTCAAATCTGTGCAAGCACCTAGCAAGCCGCCACGGGAATGTGACATTCACAGAGAAACGCCCACTGACATGACTGTTGCAGCACCGGGCACCCACCCCACTCCTGCTAAACAGGTGAAAATAGCTTGAATAGCAACAGGACCTAGTGCCACTGAATCTTTGATTTTATTTATTTTTGCTGTGTTTCACTTGCAGCTATTTGAAAGAGCGAGTGTAAACACAAAACATTATTTTGTTTTATATGCTGGAATATGCAGAAAATAGGTTTAAATGTTAAACAAATTTCTTCAAGCCAAAGACTGTTGCATATAATTGAATTTTTGCTTAATGTAATGTGCATAAAATTAAAAAAATTAAAACTAATAAAACTAATAAAAGAGGCTTTCCATTTGATTCAATTTTATATGATGGATTATGCATAAAAAATAGAACTGTGCTAAAAGGTCTATTGCTTTATTACGTATTCAGGTTGTTTATCATGTTTTTGAAAAGTAACTAAGTAACTAAGTACTTTTGAAAATAAGTAATGATTAAAGTAATGGGATTACTTTTTTTTGGAGAATTAATCAGTAATTAGTAACTAATTATCCTTTTCAAGTAACTTGACCAACAATGGTCCTGACCTCATGATAATTAAGATGACATCATGCAGTTTGAATGCAGTTTAATAAATAGATCTTTTGCCACAGACTTAAAATGTTTGACAAACCTTCACAGGTTGATATTTAGTGTTGGCATGTGTTTCCTGTTTTGTCCCTGTGAGCATTTAAGACAGAAATGGAGAAGCGCTAACGGAATTCATCAGTCCTAATCTTGTTAATCTAGGAGTGACTATTGTCACATTCCAAAAAAGAGGCATATTCCAGCTTTATACCACCTCAGGTCTCTTCTCAGTCCAGAGCCGCACTGAACCCTAGTTATTATGTTTCATATAGGGGCTCCTATGGGAATGACATAATGTGTTATCTTCAGCATCCTTACAATATAACGCCGTAAAATGCACATTTATTAGGCAAAATATGCTTGTCTTTAAAAATATAGTCATCTAAGAAAGCATGGATGGACACATGGCTGGAAACCCAGATTTACATTGTAATTATTAACGATAAAACCATGGCCATCAATAGTGTAATTTGCTATCAAAACATACATGAAAAGACAGCATTGAACCTGCAAGGACTCCGTTTTTATTATACTATGATAAGGACAGAGAACTATAATATACTAATATACTATACTATATTATCACTGATGCTGTTATTATTTAGAAAAGACAGAAATGATCTTTTAAGCATACTCAAAATGCACTAATATTATACAACAGCAGCTCTGCACTGGCAGCTATAATCAAATCATCCTGCTTATCAAATGTTAACTACCTGCTTGTGTTCTGGGGTTGATTGAAGAATTTTAAATATGTGAAGTGGAGTTAAAGTCAGGAGACTAGGAGTGTACCTGACATGGGTGGATGGTGTGTA